ACAATTTGAGTGTTCTACTTTGCCTGAAGCCCCCACTGAAAAATCAAGGCTCCTGTGGACTCAGCACCTGCAGGAGGATCAGTGAGGGGCTGGTGCTCTGACTGCCACCCCCCGACCCAGAAATGGATGTATGGATGGACAAATCATGGATGGAAAAATCACGTGCTCTGACATGCTACAATCTCACTTCGGGAAGGTGGGGGTGTACCCAGAAAGAGAATTACCCGATATTTTCTTTCCTCTCGAAAACTTCTATACAGGACGGTCCAAAAGTCGCTCTTGGTCCAAAGCTACAGTATGTTCCAGAGGCTGTCGATGCTAAAGGGAGTATTGTTTTGGACCAGTCTAGTTTAGCCGCTGTGGACAAGTGCAGGACTTCAGAAGGTACTCGTTAAATGAATGGGGATGGTGTCAGTTAACGCATGTGCAGATGCGTTTTTCACATTTTCCAGCCTCACGGCCATTTTACGAAAGCTCACAGAAGGCAAAAGTAGTGGCACATTAGTCTCATTAGATAGGAGAGTGAGAGACCAGAGAGGGACCAGTGAGAGACCAGAGAGAGACCAGAGAGAGACCAGAGAGAGACCAGAGAGAGACCAGAGAGAGACCAGAGAGAGACCAGAGAGGGACCAGAGAGAGACCAGAGAGGGACCAGAGAGAGACCAGAGAGAGACCAGAGAGAGACCAGAGAGAGACCAGTGAGAGACCAGAGAGGGACCAGAGAGAGACCAGAGAGAGACCAGAGAGAGACCAGTGAGAGACCAGAGAGAGACCAGAGAGAGACCAGAGAGAGACCAGAGAGAGACCAGAGAGAGACCAGAGAGAGACCAGAGAGAGACCAGAGAGAGGCCAGAGAGAGACCAGAGAGAGACCAGAGAGAGACCAGTGAGAGACCAGAGAGAGACCAGAGAGAGACCAGAGAGAGACCAGAGAGAGACCAGAGAGGGACCAGAGAGAGACCAGAGAGAGACCAGAGAGAGACCAGTGAGAGACCAGAGAGAGACCAGTGAGAGACCAGTGAGAGACCAGTGAGAGACCAGTGAGAGACCAGAGAGAGACCAGAGAGAGACCAGAGAGAGACCAGAGAGAGACCAGAGAGAGACCAGAGAGAGACCAGAGAGGGACCAGAGAGAGACCAGAGAGAGACCAGAGAGAGACCAGAGAGAGACCAGTGAGAGACCAGAGAGAGACCAGAGAGAGACCAGAGAGAGACCAGAGAGAGAGACCAGAGAGAGACCAGTGAGAGACCAGGGAGAGACCAGTGAGAGACCAGAGAGAGACCAGAGAGAGACCAGAGAGAGAGACCAGAGAGAGACCAGGGAGAGACCAGTGAGAGACCAGAGAGAGGCCAGAGAGAGAGACCAGAGAGAGAGACCAGAGAAAGGCCAGAGAGAGACCAGAGAGAGACCAGAGAGAGGCCAGAGAAAGACCAGAGAGAGACCAGAGAGAGACCAGAGAGAGACCAGAGAGAGATCAGAGAGAGAGACCAGTGAGAGACCAGAGAGAGAGACCAGAGAGAGACCTGAGAGAGACCAGAGAGAGACCAGAGAGGCCGACTTACACTACAGCTCAGTGGGCTCCTGTCTCCACTGCCGGCTCAGCTCTAGCTTCGTAAATAAACTTGTTAAAAGTAATTCAGATTCCTGCCTTTGCTTCGGGGCTTTCATTTGCAAACTGGAACATATGGTCTGGTTTTACTTCACTGTGTTTTTGTCTATTCCACCTCCTCAAGGCACTCAGAGCTCCACAAATCAAGGACCAATCATCCATTCATACGCCTATTTATACAGACACTGGCAATGGTGCATCTAGAGGCGAGTGTGAGTGGAGGTGGATACATACAGTCTCTGGTCTCTCTCTGGTCTCTCTCTGGTCTCTCTCTGGTCTCTCTCTGGTCTCTCTCTGGTCTCTCTCTGGTCTCGCTCTAATCTCCCTTTGGTCTCTCTGGTCTCTCTCTGGTCCCTCTCTGGAATGTCTCTCCGGTCTCTCTCTTGTCTCTCTCTCTCTCTCTTTATCTCAGGTCGCTCTCCCTGTTCTCTCTCTCTAGCCTCTTTCTTTGGCCTCTCTCTCTCTCTGGTCACTCTCTTTGGCCTCTCTCTCTTCTCGCTCTCTCTGGCCTCTCTCTGCTTTCTCTCTCTCTCTGCCTTTGGTTTCTTTGTCTTCTTTCTCTAATGTCTCTTTCTCTGGCCTCTCTGCTCTCTCTCGCTCTCTCTCTGCTCTCTCTCTCTGGTCTCTGCTCTCACTCTCTATCTGCTCTCTCTCTCTGTCTCTCTCTGTCTGCTCTCTCTCTCTCTCTTCCCCCCTCCATTTTGAGCTGCCAAACTAACTATAGCCACACATTTTAACACGACGGCAAAAACAGTTTCTTGATTGTGTCTTTCTGTATAAACACTTTGCTTTAGTGAATAAAAAACCCATTCTTGAGCGTTCTCTACCGTCATCGTGCCCCGTCCACTTCTGCAGAACACTGACATTCCCGGTGTGTATTTTCCCCGAGGGAGGGACTGATCCTGACCTGTACATGACACTAACAGCGACACATTATCCTTCCCCAGCATGTAATATGTGCCCCTTAATTCCCAATCATTTCATTTAGCTGACCTCACACCGACGGCCATTCACACTCGTCTCCCGGGGAGCGGGGAATGGAAGCCGGACCCACGCCGTGATTAAGGTGTGAGGAGCAAAGTACATTGTGTGCTGAATAATTGATACACATTATTATAAGAGGATGGGTAAAGGAGAAGATCCAAGTTATTCAATGTGGAAACGGCTGTGGATGGAGGCAAAGGTTAAAGAAAAATGCATATACACATGCATGTAATCTATGTGTGTGTGTGTGTGTGTGTGTGTGTGTGAGAGAGATTCAATTCCAGGATCCAGGACTGAGGCTGTAGAACGAGGACCAAGGCCATGCAATGCTGGACTGAGGTGGGTTTAGGCCAGTGCCAACAGAAGAGGCCAGATTCAGAGGTCCCATTATCACGCCTCAAAACAGACAATGGGACAGTGGGTGAATCGCAATGAACAGACTACTGCTGGCATTTATTGTTCTCCAAGATAATTACCGCTACACAAAACTAAAATGAATTTCCCTCATACAAATGCAACTAAATTGTAGTAAATAATACCTTGGTTTTATACAGCAAAAATAAACTACTACTCTAGCCACAGCCCCCTCCCACCACCAACCATTCACACACCAGACTCATTCTAATGTGGGGGAAGTGTCTTGCCTAAGGACACAGCCACAGTTTGGCACTTTACAGCCACAGCGCCCCACTGTGGCACCTGCTGTTCCCAGAGGTCTCCCATCAGCACTAACACCGCCCTGCCCTACTTAGCTTCAGAGCTTCACCTGCAGCTATAACCACCTCTCTTCTTTCTCTAACACACAAACCGCGAACTTTTCAATCTTTTTTTGTGTCTCGTGGATGAAAAACTCACTTCTCTTCGATGTAAACGTCACATTTATCCTCTTTAATTTTACATCTGAAAACTTGAACCGTGGCTGAAAATAAACCGTGGTTTGTCCGAGTCGTTGTCACTTCTCTGATTTCCCGCTAATGCCGCCGCTGTCACACACTTCATAAAACACGTTGGCGAGGGCTGGTTTTTTTTCCCCAAATGTGTTTGATGAAGTGTGTTGCTTATTTGTTTGTGTCTCGCTGCAGACATCAAAGCCACAGCCCTTATCTCTCTGTCATACCCAGTGTCATTACTCATTGCGCTGACTGACAGTGTGCCATTCTGCTTCATCACAGCCGCGACTTTATTAAGCTGCGACTTTTATTCTACATGTATTTCACTTCAATTCACTCTATTCTTGTATCGCCCTAAATCACAACAGTATCGTTTTCTGGAAGGACATTTTTAGTTCCCGTTTGAGTTTGTATTCTCTGTTTTCCTGTGTGTTTTTTTAGTTTTACTTCCTGTTTTGTTGATTGCCCCATCCCGATGTGTACCTGTGTGCCCCAGTTAAAGTCCCTGTGCTCTTTCCCGCTTGTCGTCCGTCCATTGTGTGTTGGTTCTTAAGTTTTCAGTCCCTGTGTTTTAAATTCAGTTGAGTTTGTTTTGGGATTTTCTGTGTATTCAATGATTTAAATTTTTCAGTATCGATATTTTGGGTTCTTCCTCGTTTTCACCGTGACAAGGACTTTACAAAGCTGTCGATTCACCGTCACAGATCAGAGAATCAAACAGTTCAATGCAGTGATAAAAACACAAAGCAGAGACCGATACATGTTTTTAATTATCTTTTTTTTAATCCAAAGTGTCTCCATTTGCAGCGTCATTAACAATCTGTGTTTTTAGACTTAAGGTTGTATTTTTAAGTCTTCCCTGAGTCTCACTGAGTCTTACCGAACCATGAGCTAGGTCAGGTCTGTTTTGTATTTTGTTTATGTTTCTATTTGAAATGACTATTAATGGCGTCGTTGCTAGAAACTGTTTGAGAGGGACAAGCGCGACGGGTTCATAATCTGACGTCCGACCTGGAGCATGTCCTGCACTTTTACCCGAAGGACGATTTACCGCTGATTATCGCCGCTACTGGAATTGATTGACCTTTTTGGATTTAGAAATGTGGATACAGTGGCTCAGTTGGTAGAGCATTGGCCTTTGGGCTGGAAGGTCGTGGGTTCGAGCCCACCATGAGACCTGAAAATGAGCTTTGTGATAATCTGTCTTGTTCTTGTTTTCTTCAATGTTTGTGATCTTACTAACATGAACTTGAACTTGAACCTCCTCCACCAACTCCCACTGATGTCTGCTGTCGTTGTGTCCTTGGGCAAGACACTTAACCCCACTTTGCCTGAAGCCCCCGCTGAAAGATCAAGGCTGCATCATCACTGACAGAGCAGCCACCTCGCCACCCTCTGTGAGGGGCTGGGGCTCAGTGAGGGGCTGGGGCTCTGTGAGGGGCTGGGGCTCAGTGAGGGGCTGGGGCTCAGTGAGGGGCTGGGGCTCATGAGGGGCCGGGGCTCATGAGGGGCTGGGGCTCATGAGGGGCTGGGGCTCTGTGAGGGGCCGGGGCTCAGTGAGGGGCCGGGGCTCAGTGAGGGGCCGGGGCTCATGAGGGGCTGGGGCTCAGTGAGGGGCCGGGGCTCAGTGAGGGGCCGGGGCTCAGTGAGGGGCCGGGGCTCATGAGGGCCGGGCTCTGTGAGGGGCCGGGGCTCTGTGAGGGGCCGGGGCTCGGGGGTGGGCGGGCTGGGCTCTGAGGGGCTGGGGCTCTGTGAGGGGCTGGGGCTCATGAGGGGCTGGGGCTCATGAGGGGCTGGGGCTCTGAGGGGGGCTCGTGAGGGGCGGGGGGCTCGTGTAGGGGCTGGGGCTCAGTGAGGGGCCGGGGCTCTGTGAGGGGGCTGGGGGCCGGGGCTCAGTGAGGGGCCGGGGCTCATGAGGGGCCGGGGCGGGCCAGTGAGGGGCGGGGCTCTGAGGGGCGGGGCTCTGTGGCTCTGGGGCGGGGCTCTGTGAGGGCGGGGCTCTGTGAGGGGCGGGCTCATGGGGTGGATGGGGCTCAGGAGGAGGGGCCGGGGCTCAGTGAGGGGCTGGGGCTCAGTGAGGGGCGGGCTCTGTGAGGCTGGGGTCTGGGGCTCTGTGAGGGGCTGGGGCTCATGAGGGGCTGGGCTCAGGGTGAGGGGCCGGGGCTCGTGAGGGGCTGGGGCTCAGTGAGGGGCTGGGGCTCTGTGAGGGGCCGGGGCTCTGAGGGCTGGGCTCATGAGGGCTGGGCTCATGAGGGGCTGGGGCTCAGTGAGGGGCTGGGGCTCAGTGAGGGGCTGGGGCTCAGTGAGGGGCTGGGGCTCATGAGGGGCTGGGGCTGTAGGGCTGGGGCTCAGTGAGGGGCTGGGGGCGGGTCATGAGGGGGCCGGGGCAGGGCCTGTGAGGGGCTGGGGCTCAGTGAGGGGCGGGCTCTGAGGGCTGGCTCATGAGGGCGGGGGGCGGGGCTGGGGCTCATGAGGCCGCTCTGTGAGGGGCTGGGGCTCAGTGAGGGGCCGGGGCTCTGTGTGAGGGGCTGGGGCTCAGTGAGGGGCCGGGGCTCTGTGAGGGGCTGGGGCTCAGTGAGGGGCGGGCTCTGTGTGAGGGGCTGGGGCTCTGTGAGGGGCTGGGGCTCAGTGAGGGGCTGGGGCTCATGAGGGGCTGGGGCTCATGAGGGGCTGGGGCTCATGAGGGGCTGGGGCTCAGTGAGGGGCTGGGGCTCAGTGAGGGGCCGGGGCTCTGTGAGGGGCTGGGGCTCTGTGAGGGGCTGGGGCTCAGTGAGGGGCTGGGGCTCATGAGGGGCTGGGGCTCATGAGGGGCCGGGGCTCATGAGGGGCTGGGGCTCTGTGAGGGGCTGGGGCTCAGTGACTTCGATGGTATCTCGGACTCCCACTCCGCCGACCTACAAATGGATTAAGGGGTATAAGATGGATGGACCTTTTTTGATCTGGTTCTGGTGGACCGTGGCTTCGTCGCTGACACAAACTTCTCAAACTTACACGGAGCGCGCCTTTCTGACAGAGACTAATTGTGAATGTTTATTAGGATGTTGTGTGGGGATCGCGCCTGAGCAGTTTCACTCTGAGAACCAGCTCAGTTAATAATTAGCCAGTTTTCAGACAAATGCTAATATTCTATCTGTGCTTATTCCACCGCTGATGTGTTTATCTCCTCCTGCGTCCTATTTCATGCACTGTAGATGAATGGTCTTGGAAGAGAGACGGCGGAATGCAACAATTGTAGAGACTGTGTCCTCTTTCTCGACGTGGATGAGGAGCTGATTCCAGTGTAGGAGCTTGGTGGAAAAACTCTATGCCCCCGACTGCACTTTGTGACTCTTTAGGACCCAGCAGACGTCTGGCGTTTTGCGAGTGCTGTGAGAGTTTGGTTGATATCATACTCGGAGCAATACCATTTAAGGCCTTTTATGTTAAAAGAAAGGATTTAAAATTGGGTTCTAAACTCCACAGGAAGCTCATGGAGTTTTTTAGGAATTGAACATGATGTAGAAATCTGGATTTTCTGAGATCATTGGAAGTGGTAGAGACCAGTGGGTGTAGGGTAAGAGAAGGCTAAAACTGAAGGACCCGGAAATATAAGATTACATACACAAAAACTCAGAAATTGCAAATTACAGGGTTTCACAACATACGTGTTGTCCAAATAACAAAGAAACAAGAATATACTGTGACCTGAATTTTTCTAGTCTGGTCTTACCACACCACCGTACTCATTTCATTTGTACTAAGGTCTGGATTTGCTCCATTGACTCCGTGAACAGGTGGGAGGGGCTAACTCCTTTTGCAGATTGAAATTATTGGATCTGAGTTTACTGTGACGTATGTAATGGGCCCGAGTGAGTCGTTAGCATTTAGCCTAGCATTAGCATGTAGCCTAGCTTTAGCCTTTAGCCTAGCTTTAGCCTTTAGCCTAGCTTTAGCCATCTCCTTTGCCACTACCGGAGCCCGTGGGGAGTAGAGCCACAACATCTTCACCTCAATGACATTTACTAAACATTCCTCTTGCTCCGGCTTCAGTTTCTTGATATTTGGATTGAACCAGAACAGATTATTTTACTATCGCATTCTCCGACAAACTACAACCAGCAAATTCAGCACAAACTCTGACGTCACCGACACCGACCTACAACACCCGCCTCCCCCGCTCTCTGATTGGTCGGAGGAGATTCAACCGAGGAAACTGCAGCCACTAGGATCAGACCCAGACGTACATGTAGGAAATGACCATGGACCAGAGTTTACACATGGTAAGACCAGACGTACATGTAGGAAATGACCATGGACCAGAGTTTACACATGGTAAGACCAGATGTACATGTAGGAGATGATCATGGACCAGAGTTTACACATGGTAAGACCAGACGTACATGTAGGAAATGACCATGGACCAGAGTTTACACATGGTAAGACCAGACGTACATGTAGGAAATGATCATGGACCAGAGTTTACACATGGTAAGACCAGACGTACATGTAGCAAATGATCATGGACCAGAGTTTACACATGGTAAGACCAGACGTACATGTACTGTAGGAAATGACCATGGACCAGAGTTTACACATGGTAAGACCAGACGTACATGTAGGAAATGACCATGGACCAGAGTTTACACATGGTAAGACCAGACGTACATGTAGCAAATGATCATGGACCAGAGTTTACACATGGTAAGACCAGACGTACATGTACTGTAGGAAATGACCATGGACCAGAGTTTACACATGGTAAGACCAGACGTACATGTAGGAAATGACCATGGACCAGAGTTTACACATGGTAAGACCAGACGTACATGTAGCAAATGATCATTGACCAGAGTTTACACATGGTAAGACCAGACGTACATGTAGCAAATGATCATTGACCAGAGTTTACACATGGTAAGACCAGACGTACATGTAGGAAATGACCATGGACCAGAGTTTACACATGGTAAGACCAGACGTACATGTAGCAAATGATCATTGACCAGAGTTTACACATGGTAAGACCAGACGTACATGTAGGAGATGACCATGGACCAGAGTTTACACATGGTAAGACCAGACGTACATGTAGGAAATGATCATGGACCAGAGTTTACACATGGTAAGACCAGACGTACATGTAGGAGATGACCATGGACCACAGTGTACACATGGTAAGACCAGACGTACATGTAGGAGATGACCATGGACCAGAGTTTACACATGGTAAGACCCAGACGTACATGTAGGAGATGACCATGGACCAGAGTTTACACATGGTAAGACCAGACGTACATGTAGGAGATGACCATTGACCAGAGTTTACACATGGTAAGACCAGACGTACATGTGGCAAATGATCATTGACCAGAGTTTACACATGGTAAGACCAGACGTACATGTAGGAGATGATCATGGACCAGAGTTTACACATGGTAAGACCAGACGTACATGTAGGAAATGATCATGGACCAGAGTTTACACATGGTAAGACCAGACGTACATGTAGGAAATGATCATGGACCAGAGTTTACACATGGTAAGACCAGACGTACATGTAGGAGATGATCATGGACCAGAGTTTACACATGGTAAGACCCAGACGTACATGTAGGAAATGATCATTGACCAGAGTTTACACATGGTAAGACCAAACGTACATGTAGGAAATGACCATGGACCAGAGTTTACACATGGTAAGACCCAGACGTACATGTAGGAGATGACCATGGACCAGAGTTTACACATCGTAAGACCAGACGTACATGTAGGAGATGACCATTGACCAGAGTTTACACATGGTAAGACCAGACGTACATGTGGCAAATGATCATTGACCAGAGTTTACACATGGTAAGACCAGACGTACATGTAGGAGATGATCATGGACCAGAGTTTACACATGGTAAGACCAGACGTACATGTAGGAAATGATCATGGACCAGAGTTTACACATGGTAAGACCAGACGTACATGTAGGAAATGATCATGGACCAGAGTTTACACATGGTAAGACCAGACGTACATGTAGGAGATGATCATGGACCAGAGTTTACACATGGTAAGACCCAGACGTACATGTAGGAAATGATCATTGACCAGAGTTTACACATGGTAAGACCAAACGTACATGTAGGAAATGACCATGGACCAGAGTTTACACATGGTAAGACCAGACGTACATGTAGCAAATGATCATTGACCAGAGTTTACACATGGTAAGACCCAGACGTACATGTAGGAAATGATCATTGACCAGAGTTTACACATGGTAAGACCAGACGTACATGTAGCAAATGATCATTGACCAGAGTTTACACATGGTAAGACCAGGCTAGATTTTTTCACAAAATGTCACTTTTACGAGACAATTTCTGTTGAACAAAAAATATATAATTTTTTACCATAAAGTCAGGTCCCCCAGCTTTAAAGTCACAAGTGGCACATTCTTGATCCAATAAGTGTCAGAATCCAAATTGCCCGGAACCTCCTCAGACCGAGCTGAGACCGAGCTGAGACCGACCTGGGACCGAGCTGAGACCGAGCTGAGACCGAGCTGAGACCGACCTGGGACCGAGCTGAGACCGAGCTGAGACCGAGCTGAGACCGAGCTGATAAAAGTCTTTTGTTTGCTGCAGATGTCGTTTTAACTGCTCCATAAAAAGAAGGAACACAGTTTGAGGAAAAAGACTTACAGTAAGTTCACACCGAGTTTCTGAGAAAACCTTTGTGTGTGTGTGTGTGTGTGTAATCTCTGCATGTGTGTGTGTGTGTTTGTATCAAATTTCTGCGTGTGCGTGTGTTTGTATGTGATCTCTGCCTGTGTGTGTATGATCTCTGCTTGCGTGTGTGTGTCTTTTCTGCCTGTGTACAGGTGTGAGATCCTTGCTTGTGTGTGTATGTGTGTGTGTGAGTGTTGTCTGTGTGTGTGTCCATCCCTCAGTCCTCTCCACATGCAGTCGTCCCATGGTATCTTTGGTCCCTATGGTCCCTACGGTCTCCCATGTCCATTTTGTCAGTTGGTCCTCTCTGTCCTGGTCCTCTCTCTCCTGGTCCTCTCTCTCCTGGTCCTTGTTGTGGATCATTCCTGGTGTGTGTGATCTGGTCCCAGTCGGACTGTCGGCTGGTAACATCCTCCAGCTCCGTCTGCCTCATCAGGACCAGACTGACCTTTCGTCGGACCAGTCTGTGGATAGAAACACCCCGCAGAGGAGCTCAGGAAGTGGGATCTGCAAACAGGAAGTGGGATCTGCAAACAGGAAGTGTGTGTTTAACAAACTGCAGATATTTCACTGGTTTAATGTGGGAAAGGAAATGGGTTTGGGGTAAAACGGCTAATCAGGCATGCTAAATATATTTATATGGAGGAGAGAGGAGGAGAGAGAGAGTGAAAGGAGGAGAGAGAGAGGAGGAAAGATTAGGAAAGAGGAGAGAGACAAGGAGAGAGTCAGAGGAGGAGGTAGAGAAAGGAAGAAAGAGGAGTGGTGAGAGAGAGAGAGATGGAAAGAACGACATTTGAGAATTCTTCATGCTACAAATAAACTTGTTCTTTTAACGATGTCATTGAAATCCAAATAGACTCATCACTAAACTGGATAAAGAGAATTAAGACGTCTGCGATACGTAAAAAAATATATCCGACTTCCATGTTTCATCTTGAGAATGAGTCTGTTATTATGATACCACTTTTGAACTGAATTAAAGTCCAGCTCCTCAGAGTATGTGTGATAATGTAGAGTCAGATTAACCTTGTCTAATAATACTGTGTTTAGTCTGTTCCAGTCTCTCCAGATTGAAATTGAAAATAGAAGAGGACCTAAGATCGAGCCCTGAGGCACCCCTTTCTTCCATGATGCATTTGTTAGACTGAGCACCATGTGGAACAACATTCAGAAACACCCCACAGAGGAATTCAGGAAGTGGGATCTGCAAACAGGAAGTGAGACGTGTGTATTTAACATACCGTAGAGTTTTGACTGGTTTAATGTGGAAAAGGAAATAGGTTTGAGGAAGAAACTAAATAAATGTTTTTATGGAGGAGTGAAGAGGAGAGAGTAGTAGTAGTAAGTAATCTTTATTTATATACCGCCTTTTCACTGCACATCGGAGTCTCAAAGCGGTTTACAATTGTTATTTTTGGGAGTGGGGCCAGTACAGGAGGCACATGCCATACCTATTGTACATATTTTTAGTGGTAGGGGAAACCGGAGCACCCGGAGGAAACCTACGCAGACACGGGGAGAACATGCAAACTCCACTCAGAAAGGCCCTGGTCCAAACGGGATTCGAACCCAGGACCTTCTTGCTGAGAGGCGAGAGTGCTATCCACTCAGCCACCGTGCCGCGAGGAAAGAGGAAGATCTACAGCCTCAGTCTAGACTAGAACCAGGAAGTAGCATCGCATTAGTCCGGACTAGAACCAGGAAGTAGCCTCACATTAGTCCAGACTGGAAGCAGGAAGTAGCATCACATTAGTCCAGACTAGAACCAGGAAGTACCATTACATTAGTCCAGACTAGAACCAGGAAGTAGCCTCACATTAGTCCAGACTGGAAGCAGGAAGTAGCATCACATTAGTCCAGACTAGAACCAGGAAGTACCATTACATTAGTCCAGACTAGAACCAGGAAGTAGCATCACATTAGTCCAGACTAGAACCAGGAAGTAGCATCACATTAGTCCAGACTGGAAGCAGGAAGTAGCATCACATTAGTCCAGACTAGAACCAGGAAGTACCATTACATTAGTCCAGACTAGAACCAGGAAGTAGCATCACATTAGTCCAGACTAGAACCAGGAAGTACCATCACATTAGTCCGGACTAGAACCAGGAAGTAGCCTCATATTAGTCCAGACTGGAAGCAGGAAGTAGCATCACATTAGTCCGGACTAGAACCAGGAAGTACCATTACATTAGTCCAGACTAGAACCAGGAAGTAGCATCACATTAGTCCAGACTAGAACCAGGAAGTACCATCACATTAGTCCGGACTAGAACCAGGAAGTAGCCTCACATTAGTCCAGATTAGAACCAGGAAGTAGCATCACATTAGTCCAGACTAGAACCAGGAAGTAGCATCACATTAGTCCAGACTAGAACCAGGAAGTACCATTACATTAGTCCAGACTAGAACCAGGAAGTACCATTACATTAGTCCAGACTAGAACCAGGAAGTAGCATCACATTAGTCCAGACTGGAAGCAGGAAGTAGCATCACATTAGTCCAGACTAGAACCAGGAAGTACCATTACATTAGTCCAGACTAGAACCAGGAAGTAGCATCACATTAGTCCAGACTAGAACCAGGAAGTAGCATCACATTAGTCCAGACTAGAACCAGGAAGTACTATTACATTAGTCCAGACTAGAACCAGGAAGTACCATTACATCAGTCCAGATTAGAACCAGGAAGTAGTATCACATTAGTCCAGAGTAGAACCAGGAAGTACCATTACATTAGTCCAGACTAGAACCAGGAAGTAGCATCACATTAGTCCAGACTAGAAGCAGGAAGCACCATCACATTAGTCCAGATTAGAACCAGGAAGTACCATCACATTAGTCCAGAATGAACCAGGAAGTACCATCACATTAGTCCAGAATGAACCAGGAAGTAGCATCACATTAGTCCAGACTAGAACCAGGAATTAGCATCTCATTAGTCCCGGTCTCAGGTCTCTGAGGCACACCTTTTTGACCATGTGAAACAACATACAGAGAATGGCCGTGTGGAAGGAACTACACTTCTACATAAAAAAACTACAAAACATACACTTCCTCATGCTGGACTAATAAACTTGCTCTGCCTTTCCAAGTCCGTAAATATCCATAAATAATCCGGGTCATCTCTGTCCTTCGACCCTCCTGCCTCAACAAGGAACAGGTTGTGGATTTACCAGTGGCCACAGATGGGATTGGAGTTGGATTTAATGACATTACAATTGATTTATTACCAAGACCTGGGTTTGTAGGAAGTAATCAGGCAGAAAAGCATCATCCCATCAGAGTGAGTACGATAAAAAGGTTGCATGAGGTTGTGTGTGGTTGTATAACTTGTATTTTGTTTTTCCTTAGCCTTGAGGCAGTCGTGTGTGGAGGAGGTTCTGACCCCCACCTGCTCTCGCAAAACCACCACGAAAACCCCCTTTGGACATCAAGACTCTGAGCCGAGCCAAAACAACAGAAAAGGCTTTTGTTTTTCCAGTTTCTGACCCCGACACTGGCTGCAAAAGTAACTAACCCGGAGCAGAGTCTGAGCTGGACTTGGCCAAAGATTCTGACATGACAGCACCACAAGACATGGATCTGGGTCTACAGCCTCAGTCCTGGGTCTACAGCCTCAGTCCTGGGTCTACAGCCTCAGTCCTGGGTCTACAGCCTCAGTCCTGGATCTACAGCCTCAGTCCTGGGTCTACAGCCTCAGTCCTGGGTCTACAGCCTCAGTCCTGGGTCTACAGCCTCAGTCCTGGGTCTACAGCCTCAGTCCTGGGTCTACAGCCTCAGTCCTGGATCTACAGCCTCAGTCCTGGGTCTACAGCCTCAGTCCTGGGTCTACAGCCTCAGTCCTGGATCTACAGCCTCAGTCCTGGATCTACAGCCTCAGTCCTGGATCTACAGCCTCAGTCCTGGGTCTACAGCCTCAGTCCTGGGTCTACAGCCTCAGTCCTGGATCTACAGCCTCAGTCCTGGGTCTACAGCAGCCTCAGTCCTGGGTCTACAGCCTCAGTCCTGGGTCTGCAGCCTCAGTCCTGGATCTACAGCCTCAGTCCTGGGTCTACAGCCTCAGTCCTGGGTCTACAGCCTCAGTCCTGGGTCTGCAGCCTCAGTCCTGGGTCTGCAGCCTCAGTCCTGGATCTACAGCCTCAGTCCTGGGTCTACAGCCTCAGTCCTGGATCTACAGCCTCAGTCCTGGATCTACAGCCTCAGTCCTGGGTCTACAGCCTCAGTCCTGGGTCTACAGCCTCAGTCCTGGGTCTACAGCCTCAGTCCTGGGTCTACAGCAGCCTCAGTCCTGGGTCTACAGCCTCAGTCCTGGGTCTACAGCCTCAGTCCTGAATCTACAGCCTCAGTCCTGGGTCTACAGCCTCAGTCCTGGGTCTACAGCCTCAGTCCTGGGTCTACAGCCTCAGTCCTGGGTCTACAGCCTCAGTCCTGGGTCTACAGCCTCAGTCCTGGATCTACAGCCTCAGTCCAGCCTCAGTCCTGGGTCTGCAACCTCAGTCCTGGGACTACAGCCTCAGTCCTGGGTCTACAGCCTCAGTCCTGGATCTACAGCCTCAGTCCTGGATCTACAGCCTCAGTCCTGGGTCTACAGCCTCAGTCCTGGGTCTACAGCCTCAGTCCTGGGTCTACAGCCTCAGTCCTGGGTCTACAGCAGCCTCAGTCCTGGGTCTACAGCCTCAAGTCCTGGGTCTACAGCCTCAGTCCTGGATCTACAGCCTCAGTCCTGGGTCTACAGCCTCAGTCCTGGATCTACAGCCTCAGTCCTGGGTCTACAGCCTCAGTCCTGGGTCTACAGCCTCAGTCCTGGGTCTACAGCAGCCTCAGTCCTGGGTCTACAGCCTCAGTCCTGAGTCTACAGCCTCAGTCCTGGATCTACAGCCTCAGTCCTGGATCTACAGCCTCAGTCCTGGGTCTACAGCCTCAGTCCTGGGTCTACAGCCTCCAAAACCAAAGTCTCCTTTAAAGCCGTGTGTTTCTCGTCTCTTCCTCATTCATCAAAACTTCTCACTTTTCCATTCTCTACTTTTGCCTGTACTTTATTACTTAATCCATTCACCTTTGAATTGATTCTGTAGCAGAGTGGTTAATGATGCCGCTGTTGAATTATGAACTTGAATGTAGCCGTAAAGCACTTGCCAGAGAGAACTCGACTCTAAATCATCGTAAAATATTCCGGACCGCTGTGCCTCCCGCCGCCGCCGCTCGGACTGCTCAATTCTACAAATGCAATCTAGTGTTTCTCATCAATATCCCATCGGCTTCTACACGATCAGCTTTGAGCTTCCATCGTTTCCAAGATTCCACACTTCTCATTAGAATGTGGGAGGGGAATTGTTTTTGCCAGCATGGGAGGAAATAACGTGTTCCTCTCCTGTTTAATGGATTGGGCCCAGATGTCATTTCTGCTCTAATCTTCTATACAATTGTAACGTATTTAGCCATGACCGCTTTCTACTGCTGTTTGATCCACAAGAAGAAGAAGAAGAAGGTTTTCTGGGTTTTAAAACGTAGCAGCCCGAGTCCAGACTAGAACCAGGAAGTCGCACCACATTAGTCCAGACTAGAAGCAGGAAGTAGCATCACATCAATCCAGACCGGAAGCAGGAAGTAGCATCATATTAGTCCAGACTAGAACCAGGAAGTAGCATCACATTAGTCCAGGCTAGAAGCAGGAAGTAGCATCACATTAGTCCAGGCTAGAAGCAGGAAGTAGCATCACATTAGTCCAGACTAGAAGCAGGAAGTAGCATCACATTAGTCCAGACTAGAAGCAGGAAGTAGCATCACATTAGTCCAGACTAGAAGCAGGAAGTAGCATCACATTAGTCCAGGCTAGAAGCAGGAAGTAGCATCACATTAGTCCAGGCTAGAAGCAGGAAGTAGCATCACATTAGTCCAGACTAGAAGCAGGAAGTAGCATCATATTAGTCCAGATTAGAAGCAGGAAGTAGCATCACATTAGTCTTGACTAGAACCAGGAAGTAGCATCACATTAGTCCAGACTAGAACCAGGAAGTAGCTTCGCATTAGTCCTGGTCTCAGGTCTCCGCTTCCCGTGGCTCAGAGAATAGATTTTAAAACAGCTCTGTTTGTTACAAGTCTCTCCATGACCTCAAAGTTCATCTGAGACATGTTAGAGCCATAAGAACCAACTCTGAGGAGCACAGAGACTGGCCTCCTGCTGGGACTCTGAGGAGCACAGGGACTGGCCTCCTGCTGGGACTCTGAGGAGCACAGGGACTGGTCTCCTGCTGGGACTCTGAGGAGCACAGGGACTGGCCTCCTGCTGGGACTCTTGGAGCACAGGGACTGGCCTCCTGCTGGGACTCTGAGGAGCACAGGGACTGGCCTCCTGCTGGGACTCTTGGAGCACAGGGACTGGCCTCCTGCTGGGACTCTGAGGAGCACGGGGACTGGCCTCCTGCTGGGACTCTTGGAGCACAGGGACTGGCCTCCTGCTGGGACTCTTGGAGCACAGGGACTGGCCTCCTGCTGGGACTATGAGGAGCACAGGGACTGGCCTCCTGCTGGGACTCTTGGAGCACAGGGACTGGCCTCCTGCTGGGACTCTTGGAGCACAGGGACTGGCCTCCTGCTGGGACTCTGGCTTTATCAGAGAATCAGTTCAAACTCAGCAAATGCGATGATAAAAACACACAGAGCCAGCGGTCCAAAAGGAGCAGAGACTTGAAAGTGGAGAGTCCTGGATCATCACCTCTGTCCTCTCTTTCATCACAGAGAAACAACTCTAAAAAACTCTAAAAGTCCCCAGTGGGAGTGTTAACAACAGCTTAGAAGAACAAAAAAAACTTTAATCTACCATTTTTCTGTCTCCTGCCTCCTCCTGCTGTTTGGCACTCGTCCAAATGGCATAAAAAGCACCGCTTGTGTTTTCTGGACCAAATAGATCAAAGTGTCTCTCTTCAGTCGTGTTTGTTGCCTAGCGTTCCAACTTGCGGTGCTTGACATAAGTGATTGATTGTTTATTGGAACAATTTGTACAGAACATGCTATTGGGAACTGACCACAGCACGCAACAAATCCTGGGAGCTGAAGAATCTTTTCCCTGCTGCAGATGTGTCATTTATCAAAGTGAGCGGGCCGCAAAGAGCACAGGACCTGCACTCTCCAGGACCTCTCCAGGACCTCTCCAGGACCTCTCCAGACCGGTCCACAAAGAGGCTGAACAGGTCTGAGCCCGGTGTGTCAGAGTGAGACTTCTGCAGAGCCCGGAGCTGACGGAAAGGACAGTAATCATGACTTATTGTGAGAGAACGACAGACCCGAGGTTTTCTTCAGCACCGGGACCACAGTGCGTTAGAGAAGGAGATGGTAAATAATAATAATAACAGAGAGTTTAGATTATCATGTAAAAACTTACACTGCTATAGTCACTGTCTGATTGTACACAAAATACTGCACATAAAAGGTAAAGGTGCAATTTATTATACCCCGTAGGGCACTTGATCCTCTGCATTTGACCCTGATGCCGCTGGGGCTTACGTCAGGAGCAGGGGTCGGCTGATGCTCGTGGTCAGGACTGGAGCTGGAGGATTTGACCCATTGCGCATGTTTTAGTGGTAGGGGAAACCGGAGCACCTGGAGGAAACCTCCAACAAACTCCACTCAGACCCTGTTCCGACTGGGATTCGAACAAAGAATATTCTTGCTGAGAAGCGAGAGTGCTAACCACTCAGCCACTGTGTGATCCTGTGTGATCCTGTTCAGTGTTATATAAATACTGTATCTTCTTAGCTTAATGATTGTGTTTGAGTTTCATCCAAAGTAAATGTTTGGTTGTCATAGAAACCTTCCCTGGCAAAAGTCAGATTGATGATTGTGTAGGACTCATGTGGGTTCTCCACAAAATCAGTCTGGGACATCAATCAATCAATCAACTTTATTTGTATGGCGCCTTTCCAACACAAGGCCACTCAAAGCGCCTCACAACCCACATAATATCACACAAATCAGAGACATCAATAAATACATTAAAAACAGAATAAAATCACAAGTAATGAAAAAAAAATAAATAAATAAAAAAAATATTAAAAGCACACACGGGATTAAAATAATAAACAACCACAATGCATTAAAAAAAAAAAAAAAAAGAGTATGTATCAATAAAATCCTTCAGCCGTATGCACAGCTAAAAAGAACAGTTTTTAGCCCTGATTTAAAAATTGCCAGAGTAGATGCTAGCCTCACATCTTCAGGAAGATTGTTCCAGATTTTAGCTCCATAAATCTCAAACGCTGCCTCCCCATGTTTAGTTCTGACTCTTGGAACCAGTAAGAGGCTACCTCCTGTGCTCCTCAGAGTCCGGGCCGGTTCATATGGGACTAACAAGTCGCTTAAGTACCCTGGTGCGAGGCCATGGAGAGACTTGTACACAAGCAGTGCTGCTTTGAAGTCTATTCTCTGAGCCACAGGAAGCCAGTGCAGAGACCTGAGAACTGGACTAATGTGGTCATATTTCCTGGTCCTGGTCAGGACTCGAGCTGCAGCATTTTGGACATACTGCAGTTGTTTTACAGCCTGTTTGGAGAGACCTGTGAGCAGGCCATTGCAGTAGTCTAACCTACTGGAGACAAATGCATGGATGAGAATCTCCAGATCTGATTTAGACACTATGTTTCTAATTTTGGCAATGTTTTTCAGATGGTAAAATGCTGCTGATGTTACTGATTTGATATGACTGTTAAAATTTAAGTCTGAGTCCATTATAACTCCTAGGTTTCTGACCTTGCCTACAGGTTCCAGGGAGAGAGACTGGAGGTGACGAATAACGCTCTCTCTTTGTTTCTGAGGACCAAAGACAATCAATTCTGTTTTGTCTGCGTTTAGCTGAAGGAAGTTATTTTGCATCCAATCACTAATCTGTTGAGTACAGTGAAGGAGTGATTCCACTGGTCCATGTTCTCCTGCAGTAAGTGAGACATAAATTTGAGTGTCATCAGCGTAATTGTGGTAGGATACATTGTTGGAGCGTATTAACTGACCTAACGGCAGCATGTAAATATTGAACAGAAGAGGCCCCAGAATTGATCCCTGTGGCACTCCGCAGGTCAGAGCCATATGATCTGAGACACAGTTTCCTATCTGAACCAAGTATTTCCTGTCTTCTAGGTAAGACCTAAACCAACTTAGGGCAGTCCCAGTGACACCCACCCAGTGCTCTAGTCTCTGCATGAGGATCTCGTGGTCGACTGTGTCGAACGCAGCACTCAGATCCAACATTACTAAAACTGTGACTTTTCCTGTGTCGGTGTTAAGTCGGATGTCATTTGTAACCTTCACTAGTGCAGTCTCAGTGCTGTGATTGGCTCTAAAGCCGGACTGGAGCGCATCAAACGAACTATTAGTTACTAAGAATTCTGTAAGTTGTTGGTAAGCAACTTTTTCCAGAATTTTTCCCATAAACGGCAGATTTGAAATGGGGCGATAATTCTTAAGAACTGTGGCATCTAGACTCCTCTTTTTTAGGAGGGGTCTGATGACTGCCGTTTTCAGGGCCATTGGAAATGTTCCAGATGAGAAAGACATGTTCACTATTTGTGTGAGCAAAGGTAAAAGACTGCTCAAAACAGACTTAAAAAATTTAGTGGGTAGTACATCCAGGCTACATGTGGAGGAACTAAGGCTAGAGACAACATCTTGGACAGTTTCATTATCTGTTGGTGCAAAGTGCGATAGCTCAAACAGCCTCACCGGCTGTTGTAATGTTATTTCTGCCTTGGAGGTGATGGCGTTTTTGATGCTCTGAACCTTGTCATTGAAAAATTGTGCAAACTCATTACATTTAGATTCTGAAGCAAATTCGAATGGCAGCTGAACAGGGGGGTTTGTTAATCCGTTAACTGTTGAAAACATAAGTTGTAGATTATTATTGCAGCCATCAATGGTTTTAGAAAAATAAATTTCTCTTGTTCTACGTAGCACCCTGTTAAACTTGCACAACTCATTTTTGAAGATATCATGATCAACCTGGAGATTGGATTTTCGCCACTTCCGCTCGGCCCTACGGCACTCTCTCTTCTGTACCATGACTGAGTCCATTTTAGTCCAGGGGGCCTTTGGCTTATTTGTAATCATTTTAACCTTCACAGGAGCGATGATGTCCAGAACATTTATAACATTGGCGGTGACAGAGTTAAACAATTCGTCAACAGTAGAACACAATGTGTTCTCAAAGTTTATCATTCCCATGAATAGTTCGGTTGTGTTTTCATTTATGTGTCTGTGTCTGACAATTGCAGATTCAGATATATATGGTTGTTTACTATCAAAACACATGTCAAAAAATACACAGAAGTGATCTGACAGAGCCACGTCAACCACATTTACATTTAAAATATTAACCCCCTTTGTAACCAGCAGGTCTAGAGTGTGCCCTTTGCTGTGGGTGGGGCCACTCACGTGCTGAGTGAGACCAAATGTTTCAAGTACAGAACTCAGCTCTTTTGCATTTTTGTCATTGCCATTATCCACATGAATATTAAAATCACCTGTAATCACTAAACTATCAAAATCGGTGCAAACAACTGAAAGCAACTCAGTGAAATTATCAAAGAAATTGTGACAAGACTGCGGTGGCTTGTACAGGACAATGATAAGAATAGAAGGAGATTGTTTTTGTTCTATTTTAAAAGAAATATACTCAAATGATAGAAAATTTCCAAGGAGAATTCTATGAGAGATAATACGATCTCTAAATAATGCAGCAATGCCTCCCCCCCTTTTATTTTCTCGTATTTCAGATTCAAATTTGAAGTTTGGTGGCGTTGCTTCTATTAAAACCGCATTACCTGTACTCTGGTCAAGCCAAGTTTCAGTCAGAAACATAAAATCAAGATCATAAGAACGGATAAAATTATTAATTAAAAATGATTTGTTGCACAGTGATCTGACATTAAGCATAGCAATTTTAAAATTAATATCAGTAACAGTGGGTTTAGTTAATTGATTTTTACAAGGAGCAGGAATTAGATTTGAATGTCTAACTGCTGTCCTTCTGTTATGATTTTGTTTTCCATTCAAATAAAAACATTTTTTGAAACTGATGCGAGGAACACACACAGTTTCTATTTGTCTAACATGTGAACTCTTTTGCTGTGTAAGTCCCGGATTCAGGACGGCATTGCTTCGTTGTTTAGAGCAGGAGGCAGCACGGTTCAGAGGCGAGACTGTTATTTCACTGCCAGACGGAAAGGGGTCAGTGTTTGCACCACAGTACTCACCCGGTGCTGGTGAGCAGGAGAAGAAGGAGGAGGGTGGTGGTGGTGGGGGCTCCGATGTAAACAGTCACGCCCCCCTCGGGGAACACTGAATAACGTGGCGTAGGTAATCCGTCAACAAGCTGGTGCCATATCTATTTGGGTGCAGACCGTCTGGACCAGGGGTGGCCAACCCGCGGCTCGTGAGCCGCATGCGGCTCTTTGGCTGGTTCCGTGCGGCTCTCGGGCTTTCACACGACAAGCGTCAAAAACGCCTCGATGGTGGTGCTGCCATTCATTCTCTATGTAGTTCTGACCCATAGTAAAGGCGGACTCCACTCCACTAGCCAGGCCACCAAAACAATCTGACGTCGGCGAACGTCAATTCTGATTGGTCAGATGCGCTGTCAATCACTCTTCAGCCTCAGCTGTTGCAAATATCATAACAAACAACACGTTGCCTCGACCCATGACGTCCGTACGGAAAACAATTCCTTGGTCGCTGGATGAGGGCAACACCTTCCTCAGTTTGAGGAGAGGACACCAGCGTGAGCTCGATGGTTCCACCAGAAACCAGAAGGTGTTTGTGGAGCTAGCGCTAAGGACGGAGCAGAATGATTCCCACGAACATGACAATGCAGAGAAAAGTTAAAAAGCTGACAACCGTGAAATGAAAGATCACAGCAGCAGAAGTAGAGGCAAAACCGAAAAGTCTGGAGGTGGTTTGACCAAATGGATTAAATTTACGGACATCGGCTAACACCGGCTAACATGCTAAAACCAGCTAGCACCAGCTACACCAGGAGATTAGCCAACTCTGCCTGGTGAGTGTCTGTCTTCAATCAAATGCGAAAGTATCTGGTCTTATACTGAACATGTGTCTGTGGTTCTGAATCAGCAAAAGTGGTGTTGGTGTTATGTGTCAAATCTATATCTTTTGCTAAACGCAGTCAGAGTGAATCATGGTTCGATAAAGACAGTTGTGTTTCTGCTGAATACTGGTTTGAAACTTGCTTTTTTCATTGCGGAATCATAATTGATGTTCGCTGACGTGATATTGTTCTGGTATCAACTCGCCCGGTTAGAACCAGGGCCAAACCATTAATAAAAAGTACCGGGGAGCGGTTAAAGCGAGCGGTGGAAGCGCCTGCAAACCAGGGAGAGTCGAGTCCAGCCCTTTAGTGCTGTACGAGTCAATTTCTGTCATTATCATGTTGATGACATTTACAATAAATCTGTCTGAGCAGCGGTGTGTGTGTGTGTGCACGCGCGTGTGTGCGTGTGTAAGGGTTGGGGTGATGTTTATGTAGTGCACATTTGTATGATGTGGCTCTTTGCTGTAACACAGCAAAAAAATTGGCTCTTAGTCTGTGACTGGTTGGCCACCCCTGGTCTGGACGATAAGCCACGTGACGCTTCCAGAAAAGGCCAAAGTTATTCATAAAAATAAAGTTAAACGAGCTACATGCAGACATCAATCAAATTCAATCACATTTTATTTATAAAGCGCTTTTCATACAAAAAGTGTAACACAAAGTGCTTTACAGTTTAGTTAAAAACAATCCAACATGCCCAGCCCTAAACCCTCCTCCCCACAGACCCCCCAAAACCATAATTATATATACAACCACATGCGTATACACACACACACACATATACACACACACACATACACACACACACACACACACACACACACACACACACACACACACACACACACACACACACACACACACACACACACACACACACACACACACACACACACACACACACACACACACACACACATACACGTTTTTGTTACCTGGTGGGTCCCTTTGACAGGGCCGTTCAGAATGGGACCCATAGACATAATCTTTTTTTACCAAGACTTTAAGTAATACAAAACAGTCAATAGAAACCAAACAACTATTTTAAAGGAATTTTATTTTAGATTTTGTTTTCGAATTGCAGTGATTCTATTTTTGACATAGAATTTAATGCCACTCCATGTCCGATGTCTAAGGTCATCTGGTGAGGCATTAATGCAGGCCAGGCAGTGAGACTTCCCAGGGACCTTTCCAGTCTGTATGAAAGGTGTCATGGTCTTCTCCACAGCCTTCACCTCAGATGCAGACCATGGCTTTCTTACACGTTCTAGGGAGAGAAATAAAAATATATTAGCAATATACACTCCCAGGGTGAGGACCAAGCAGCCTGGCTGTAATCCCCCACCTGGTACACTTACCAGAAGGGGCACTGCCACTACCATGGGGTGCATCTGGATGAATGGTTGAAGGTTCTCCGCTTGAAGTTTCTTTTAGCCCGTCCGTTTGTGAGAGGATCTCTACTGCTCTCCCTGTCGCACAGAAAATAAAAATACAAGTGGCCTTTAGGGGAAAAAAATCATACATATTTTAATAATATCAAGAATTACCTTCAGGCTCAATTTGTATCTGGTCGAGGCTCTTTCCTTCGAATTCCGTCACTCTTCCCTGCTCCATGGCCATCAACACTTTGCTGATTTTGGCCAGCTCCAGTGTCCCCTCTGGTAGTCTGTAATATTGCCTGTGGATGCGAATGTCATGGCCGAGGAAGTTGGCAAGTATGTCCATCTCATTCTCTTTCATATTGAGAACTGTAGACATAGTAGCTATGTGCTTTCTAAGTTTGGTTGAGGATAGCATCTCTGGATGCACCGCACCACATTCTTTGGCTACCTGGCGTAGGGAGTCTGATCCCCTGATGTGGGTGTCTGCGCCCGGGCGGGAAAAGAAGTATGGGTTATGGTCAGAGATGGAACAGGCCCTTCTGTTCTCCACCAGCACCTCCATCGAAGCAATCATTTCAGGAGTCAAAAGAACCGGCACTTTCCGACTTCTTTTCCCTTTAATTTCAATGCGTTGAAAATGCTGACACAGCTTTTTCTCAAGTTGGGACAGTCCCAGAGCAATGTCAGAATGGATCCCAGTCTTACTTCTTAAGGTAAAGGCTGTCAGTGGCATCTTTGAAACCTCACCTTCCCTTCTTCGATTGAAAATGATGACCTCACAAAGAGTCAAAACTGCCAGTTTAGACCAATGCTTAGACGTTGGCTCACTTATTAGGGTTTGCACATATTCAGGTCGACATACCTCAATATGTGCATGCATGGCTCTAACGTCCTCAGTCAGAGGGAGCAGGTCCGGAGTGTTCCACTTGGCTTGCCGGAGGGTCTGTAGGGCAGCAGAAGAAACACAGACGTCCCACCTCTTCTCAAAAAGCAGCCGGCTTCGTTGGAGGTTTTTAATAAATAGTTCATCAACACAATGCTCCATTTTTGAGTCACATTCAAGAATATCTGCTAGCTTTCTGAGGCTATGGCCGAGTTTGAGGGCCAAGGATGGAGTCTTGTATTGATTTGTTTCCTCATCATATCCAGCCACAGACCTGACTGCATCAATCACATGGTTAAAGTTGGAAGGAATAAAGAAATCCTTAATTGTTTTCAGTTTCCCTGCGGTTTTTGCTTCGTTAATTAACCTACCGACTTCTCTCATTTTCTGCCTAATGTAATCATGCTTTGTCTTATCATGCCCGTGTTTTAAGTACAGGTGCTCTCCGAGTCTCAGAATCCCCTTTTCTGCTTTGACAACACCCGTGACCTCATCCTGATGCATTGCCGAAATTAAAGACCACAGCTTTTTGCTGATGCCCTCCGGTACAGGCTGGGCTAGGGAGCAGAGGGACTGGACCCTACTTCTACCTGGTTTAGCCTGGGCATCTTTCTGTGAAAGCCGGCACCTGGCCACATGCCTCCACAGCGACTTTCGCTTAAGCAATGCCCCACAGTCTATACAGTGCAAAAACTCACTGGATTTAACTGGGCAATTTGGCTGTTTAGCTGGGACTAAAGTTCCAATGCCGGCCTTTAAAACCTCAAAATTGTGCTCACGGTTTCCACTATTCCTGATCAAATCAAACTGAAGTTTACGTGCTTTAGATTTCACAGGTAGAGCCAATGCTCTGGCTACGTCACTTTCATTTCCATGTTTTCTAGTCAAATGACGGGACATTTTGTGGCAGGACATTGAACAGTAGAGGCAGAAGTGTCTCTTGCTGTATACTCGCCCCCCATTTTTCTTCTTTTGCAGCTGCATGATAACAATCTTATTTGCCTTTGGTTCGTCACTTTCCGAGTCTTGAAGAAAAGTGTTTTTGATTTTTCTTTTTCCATACTTTTTTACAGGTTTCTTCTTGACAGTTAAATCGTCAGAATCTGAGTCGACTTCATCAATTAGGGACTCTTGACTAAGCTGCACAAACAACAAATAATTTGTAATCATTCTATATAACAATTTGAAGTCATGACTTGTAGTCAGCACTTACCAGTGGTTTGTAAGCGTGCGCTTCAGTGTGCTCCTCCATGATTTCTTGCAGCCTAATGAACCACACACTTGCACCTTTTTCTAGCCTGACACCTGATTTCCTCTGTTGTGCTGCTCCATGATTGGCTCCAGCCTGCTGGACTGAAATTGCCCCAGTGTGCCCCTCCTTGATATCCCGCAACCCACCACCAGGGTTCCGACACATAACACACTTTTTTCAGGAAAGTAAACCTCCAGGGGTCCTTTCCATATTTTTACAGAGACTGCATAAGGACCGTTAGAAAAGCATTACCCATTGATTATTAAGCTTGGACCAGTGGGGTCCGGTGTTCGGGCCCCACCACGTAAAACCAGTCCCCATGACCGTGAGTGGAATCTCAGGTTATGGAACCCACCATCTCAGGTTATGGAACGCATGAATTCATGCAGACTGGAGCCACATGTTCAACGCCACTACGCGACTGTACAAGCAGTCTCCCCGGTTTACAGTCGGGACTGGACCAGAGATAAAAACACACAACCCGGAGGACTGGAGGAGGCGGAATAGATCCATAAAATGCTTCTTTGTGACCTCGGACTGCTGCAGCTTCATGTCGTTGATCCCCACATGCACGATTACCTTTGAAATGGTATCAGGCAGGGACTGAAGCAGAGGAGGGAGACGGATGAGCAGGTCTGGCACAGTAGCTCCGGGAAAACACTGAGTGACCGCGTTAAAAAAGCGGACGTGTCTCACGATGGAATCTCCAACAATCAGAGTAGTCGGGGCGAAGAGTGGACGTAGCCGCGGAGAGGGCGCTCGGTGTCCATGGTGTTGTATATTTTAACTATGCAGATGTGAATATTGGCTGACCCTGATTTGAACTGTCTTTTCCTAAAGCAAAAAGACCTGGTTTCCCCATGTTCCTTTGTTAGTCCAAAGTGCATGGGTGAGTTAATGATAGGTAATCTGGGGGGGGATTCTGCTAATCCTGAAGGAGGGGGACCCAGAGAGCCTTCTGCCTTATCTCAAAGAAGTAATAAATTTGGGGAGTGGTAGTGTGTGTGAATGATTCTGTTTAAGGTACGGCAGACAGAGGGGACATGATGGAAGAGGCCGGACCCAAGTCCTGCCTGATACGACACGCCCCCTGCTTCCTGAACATGGACTGATAATGCTCTGGCTTGAGAGGACACAGGAGAATGAGCCGAGGGCGAGCCAGGGACATGCATAGTTTTAGGAGCCCTCTTTGTTGGAATTTCTGTATCTGATTGTAAAGATAATTAAATACAGATGTTAAAACTTGGAGATCTGTTGTCATGCCTCTGCATCAACTCGAACACGTCAGTCAAGGGAATTATTGACTTCATTTGGAGACCCCCGACGTGATGGTGCAGGGGAAAGACAGAGATGAGCTCAAATATAGACTGGGTCCGTGGGCCGGGAGAATTCTCTCTTCTCTTCTCTCTTCTCTTCGAAAGAGGTAAGCGGATCGTTACTTTTGAAAATCTGCACATTGTTTTAAATGGAAGAGAGAGAGAGAATTCGGCTCGACGGACTGCAGCGTGGCCAGGCGACCGCCGTGACGGGGCGTTCTATCGGACGCGATAGAACAATAGTCAGGTTTAGACGTTTTAACCTTGGGGGAAGCATTGGTCCCTCCTTAAAAAACAGAACAGATGATGAAAAGAGCCACAGGGGTATAAGTGCAAAAGAGGCACAACTGTTTAGATAAATAGGATTAGAGAGATAGGGATAGTTAGGGTCAGAAGTGATAGGATAATAAAACCTTCTATATCCCCCGGGGCGGGGAAAAGGGCACAATTAATTTAAACAGAAGAAAAGCCAAGTATTTAAAATGTGGATTCTGATAATAATGATCTGATTAATGAGGAAAAAGAGAGCCTCTTGGCTGTAGTATACGAGTTTCATGTGAAGAAATGATCAGTTATGGAAGTTTTTCTCTTATTCTGATGTAATGTTTAATAGTCACAGAGAATCAAAAAAAAAAAAAGAGATTCTGCTGGGACTATTACTCATGTAAGCAAATAGTAATGTTTTCCATTACTGACGTATTTAAGGATAAAATGTAAAGTGTCGTTTGACGTGAGAAAAACTTTTACCACTGATTTAGAACCTTGTCACGAGAAAAACGAGAAAAGTATTTGACTCCATGCTTCCTTTGTTCGGGAGGCCCCTCCCCTCCCTCGTTCTGTCCTCTCTCTCTCCCCTCTCTCTCTCTCTCTCTCTCTCTCGTGAAGAAAGAATTTTTTGTAGAAAATTACATTTATACACACGATAATGTTACTGACATGGAGTCATAGGATCACAGAACTTTGAGTTAGATTATAAAGAGGCATTATTTTATTTTTTATCTCCAAGGCGTCTAGACAAGTTTTTTTCCCTACATTTTGGTGATATAAAAGTTAGAATGATCTTAGAGAGCATTATACTTTTGGAAAAATAGGGCTTAGGATAGTAGTTGAATGCAGATTTGGTTTTCAGAATTTAATGTTTAAAATGTTAATAGTAATTATTTCATAGGTTTATTTTGAATTGTAATTAATCATTGGTTTTGTATGGTAATTAACACACTTGTTTGTGTTTCTTGTTTGTCTGTTTTTTCCGAGAAAACTTCTGTCTGTTTCATTTGGCCAAAAATCGTCCCTGCCACAAACCACAACCGAGCATCATCATCATCATCATCAGCGTCTCCCCCTCTCCCTGCGGGTCGCAGGGGGCAGCATCGGCTGCAGCAGCTAACAGGAACTCTCGAAGAAGACTTCTCCTGCCTGTGAGGAGGCAAAGAAAAGACCGCAGACTTTTTCACAAACTGAGTGTTGTCCCATCCACGAAACAGAAGGTGGCGGTAATGCGAAGAATAGGCCGCCAACCGCCGGAAAACCAAACAAGAAGAAGAAGGACACGACACATTTGGGTGCGTCAGATATGAAAGAAGAAGAAAGACATTATGAGGAAAAGTTATCGGAAGAAGAAAGAAAGTGATTGTTGAAAGAAGAAGAAAGACATTGTGAGAAAGAGTTATCGGAAGAAGAAAGAAAGTGATTGTTGGAAGAAGAAGAAAAAAGACATGGAGACAAAGACATTGGACACTATGAGACAAAAGACATTGAAAGACGCCATGAGTAAAAGAAAGACATTA